CAACCCTAGATGTTTATTCGTTCAATCTTATTTAGTCCCATTATCTCTTGTTCATACTGAATGATTCTAACAAAATGATACTAACTCGCAATGTTTTGCTTATTTGTTGTGCGACGTGGTTACGTAATGTCATAGTGTTATTTATAATTATTATTTGTTCCTTGGGTTCCTGGTGGAACATAGCGCTTCAGTAGCACGTCTCCACTTCACTCTCTTTCCTGCAGTCTATCTCCACCTGGCTCCACCACTACCCACAAGCTTTCATCTCGTCCTCACACTATCTCCTCAATGTCACCCTCACCTCGGATGTCCAACTCGTCGTTTCCCCATTGGATTCCACTCGACGGTTGGTTGGCGCATGATGTTCCCAAACTGTCCTCTCGGTGTATGCCCAATCCAGTCCATCTCCACTTCCTTCTGCATATTTGTTGGCCACTAGGTTGTTGGTTGGTTCGTTGTCGGCCAGTCTGCCAGAGTTCCTTCTTGCTTATTCACTCTCTGGCCATCTGATCTTCAGTATCGAGTCAGCGTAGGCGGCAGCTGTTCATCAGTGTCTGTAGTTTGTTAGAAATGCTTTTCGTAATGCGCGAATTCTCTCAACCATCACATAGAAACACTGACTTACTTGACTGACATTAGTGTTGAAAATCCAGATCTTGTTCACGCTTTATGCTGAGTGCAATGCAGTGCAGTGCAGTGCAGTGCAGTAGATCTCCACACTGATTTCCGATTAATGAAGACTTGTCTTGGTGTCTTTGTGATCCTGGCTTTGACGTCCTCATCTGTCCAGCTGCCGCCGCCACCGCTGCCCCCAGTTGAAACAATGCTGCCTTGCCTGTGTAGGTGAAAGAGACTACTTCCTTTCGATTTCTCCCGTTCATGGTTATTGGTGCTTCTCGTTGTTGTTGCTGCTGTTGTTGTTGTTCTTGGTTGGGTAACTTCATCACCTCCGTCTTCCCTACATTAACCTGAACGAAGTCCCGTGTCCGCTGTCCTGCCATGCTTTGCCATGCCAAGCCATGCCCTGCCCTGCTCTGCCTCTTCTATCAACTTGTTGGTTTGCGCCTGTAGATTTCCGAGTTTGTGCGACATATGATATTAGACATAAATCATCATCGTTGGCGAAACCCAAATCTTCTTCTGGGGTATTTTCATCGGTCCAGCCAGGGTATACCCATCTTCTCGCTCCACATGGTTCCCTGCATGACCCAGTCCAGTCCAATCCAGTCCCGTCGACCACAATCAGGAAGGACATCGGTGACAACAGGCGGCAACCTTGTCTCACTCCTTCTTGTCTTCACTTCACTTCACTTCAAAGGCGTCACTGAGCTGCTTTCCATTGTGAATCACTCGGTATATGGCGACGTCATATAGCTATTGAATGAGGTTGGTAAAGGTTTGTGGCACTCAAACCGCAGTGTTAAAGCAGCTGCCTACCAAATTACTTCTCGGTCGATGCTATCGAAGGCCTTTTCAGAGTCGATGTAGTTGAGGTACAGGTACAGTGGACTGTCATTCTGTGCTCTGTTCTATGATGATGCGTAGCGTAGAGTTGCAATTTGGCTCGCACATGATTCGTACTTCCCAAAGCCACCCAACCTGTTCTGGTCATAATCTTGAATACAGTGCGCCCTTTAGTCTCTCCAGGATGATGTGGCTTAATATTTTGCTTGGAGTGGACAGGGGCAGGAGCATGATTCCTCTCCAGTTCTTACAAAGACTTAAGTGTGAGCGTGTCCGCTGTTGTCTGTGAGTCTGCTTCGAATGCTTCTGGCAGAATTCCATCTGGTCCTGCTGCACTCTCGGATTTCAGCAACCTCATGGTGTTCAAGACTCTACTTCTGCTTTTGTCGGAGGGTTCGCGTTCACAGGTCGTTGTGTGGCTGGGCTGCTGGAGGTATTTCTGGATGAGTTGTAGGTGGTGGTTTCCGATTCAAGAGTTTTTTGAAGTGGTCAGTCCATCGTTTCCTTAGTTTCTACCCTTTGGTAACCAGGTTTCCTTCACTATGTCTCATTGATTTCATCAGCATTGATCAATTCCCTCATAGATAGTGACCTAGTTATTTGATATAGTGTTGTCAGGTCTCTGTCTCTCCTACCTGCAGCCTGCGGCCAGTTCTACTTCACTTGCCAGTGTGTTGTAGAAGTGTCTTTTGTCTTTGAACACACTCTTCTTCACTTCTGTGTCCAGTGTAGTGTTTTATAGGTTGTGTTCAGTTCCTCCTTTCGTTGTTCATCCCTGCACTACACTGTACTGCACTGCACTGCACTGCACTTGACTGCACTGCACTGGTTCATCTTCTGCTTCACCATCTTCCTCTCCCTACTCTGTCAGTTCCCACGTGTCCATCGATATCCGTTCCTTGTCTTGTCTTGATTCTTCTTCCCTCCTAATATGGTTATCCAGGTTTCTTTTCACATGGCTTTCAAAGAATTCCAGTGTTCATCTACACAGATTTCTTCAGGGATGTTGCTCGATATCTCTCATTTTGTTCTGATGACTGGCTGACGTGAAGATGTGCTTTGTAGTTTCGTCCTTCACTTTCTGTTCTGCATGTTGAACTTGAACTGTGGTCTATCACCAAATTCTGTGAAGGCTCTCACCTTGATTTTGTAGTTAGGTTCCTTGGACTAGGTAGTGAGTGGTGTGAACATACATCTGCTCCCCTTCTTCATCTGATCTGATCTTGTGTCCACTGGGCTGGCTGCGTCTCCATTTTCTTCACATTGAGTTGAAGTCGATCTGATTTTTAGTGTGTCTTGTTGTCTGGTGAAATCAAATCCATGTTGCTTTGTAAATATCTCTGTGTTTGTACACACTGCCTGACTCCAATTACCAAGTCATTAAATGCTCAGAAGTCTGCAAACAGTTCTCCGTTCTCATTCATCATTTCACTGAGTGCTTCTCAACCTATGATTAGTTCTCTTCCTCTTCCTTTATTGTGTGCCCCTGTTTGGCATTACTGAGATTATTTAATGTATAAACTCCTGAAAATGATACTTTCGTTCATAACTTCTCTACGAAATGAATCCCTAAACTGCGTAAAAGAAATCCCAAAACATTCAAGTCATCAAGTGCTACGCTATGGCAGGAGCTGCTGTTCCAGTAACCGACTGATATTACGAAGGTTAGTTATTAGGAAATATGACCACCTAATTCAATAAATAACTCGCTGGTGGCTAACTCTGCAACTTTACTGTTGTTTAATGTTTTGTTGTATGCCTAAAGAGTCTCCAGATAAAATGGAAATCACTTTTCATAGTCGGTGACTGCTAAAATTCACTGAATTAGCAAAAGAAATGAAGGGCGTTATGTATGCAGGCAGTCTCCAATAATTTATTCCATTTGTTCTTTAATTAAATTAATTAATGGATCTATGCCGAGAAGTAAGTGTTCTCATTTATATGTTATAATATAACGTAATAGAATATACTTCACTAGTCGACCAAATGACACGAGAGAAATCAATTCTAAGACTTCACATCAGTCATACAAATCCACGAAACTGTAAGCAATACACTTGAAGTAAATCTTTCTGTCTAACTAGTCGAATCATCAATAGCTTATAATCTACATTTTGCAATTTTCAAGATGATTAGGAGTGTTTCTACTAGGGATCGAATGAACTAGGGTTTTGAAGTAGCAATCTAAATTAATATATCCTTTACTTTGTTGTAATTATCTTCTCCGCATATTATTCTATATGTTATTAGTTTGCCAGTTAATAAGTTTGTGAAGTGTATATGAACACTTTATTTAACATGTGCTGCATAATTGTGTAAAATATGAGCTTACAGGGATTCATTTTATGGATTGGATCAGTATAGTGATTGTGTGGTTGGAAAACATAATTGATCAGCAGTGTTCCAGAAACCTGAACCAACTAAAGCGTAGTAGCCGCATCGTGAACTTGGTCTATTGAACTGGACCAGCAGTTAACGCCTGGGATTTCACAGACATATCTACTAGTGTATGATAAACAAATGAAGAAAATACTCCAATCATATAGAAGGGTACTTGTGACTTGAGTAGGTTCTAACACACAGCATTATTGTTTACTACTGATTGTACGAATCAGAATGTCACTTTTTTCCGTCACATTTTGTTAAATAAAATACTCAGCGGTAAGTTTTCTGACCTTGGGACTGATTAATATATTTCTAGAGATAAGATCAATTTCAACAAAGTCGTACTTGATGTATCTGACACCTTCAAAATCAAGGTTGACTACTTACAACTGAGTATCTTTAATAATTCAGAATAAAATACTGTGACCCCAAAGGGGGCTTTTATATTCTATGGTGTTTAAATGTCTTTGGACGAATTTTTCATCCATTCTTATCTTCACAGCTATTCAAATAAATTATGAATATAGATTAACCGTGGAACGCAGAATGAGCGTTCCCTACTATTTGAAACTGGTTAGCTGAATGTACCTGCACCCTAGTGAGGAATGTTATTCCCACTTAGTACCTTTTGATCCAAACTCCAGAGCGTTATCCACTAAGCCACCGGGGTACGATAGCCACCTCTTTCTCGAACAGCTCGAATTCCCTTTTTGTCGTTGGGGGTTCTATGTCCTACCTAATTCTGTAAAAAAATCTTGTGGTGCGTGTACCATAGTATTCATGAACATGCAGAAGGTGTCAGTCAGATATGCATATCATTTTAGGCTTTTTAGTGGAAGAAACTCTACTGATCATTTAGTGCATTGTAGTCAATTGTTCGAACAATTCAACACTGGTGTATTTTGCTGAATGTTGGATGCTTGAAAGCTAAAAGACATTGGTTTATACTTTAGATAAAGTATAAATCTTATCAAGTCCTCAGACATCCTGTTCACATGTGATGACAAGCATGAAGTCTAGAAGGGCAACAACCTGTTCTCTGTCACCCCCAAATATGAAATCATACACTCAGTTGTGCTGTTAACAACAGTTTTGATAAAACTGACAGTAAACACTGACATGAAAATACTAACGAAACAAAAAAGACTTACTGAAAAATTGATTTTATTAAATCCTGTTGTTTCATTCAACGTCGCTGATTATTTTTATCAGTAGTTCATTAGGGTACTTATTGTATATTGAAAAACGACGTCATATACCTCCTCAAATAATTTTGTGACAAAGTAAATTCAACAAAAAATTTGCAATGGTAACTGTGATAATATTAATAATGATGATAACAATAATAATTCTTGGGAAAACTTCCAAGTTTATTGACTAGTTAAATAGGTGTGGAAACACGACAGAAGAATGTGAGTGAACCACATTCTTTTCATCTATTTATTTACTTGAAATGTTAGTTCCATTTTCCTTTTTCTTCTTTCTCTCTATTGAATCCTTTAGCTTTCGGCCAAACGTAAAGAAAAAACTGGGTGAAACACATTAGGGCGGTGTGTGTGAACCAGTTTCACGTCCCTAATCCTTCTCTCTCTCTCTCATACAGTCATTCACTCACTCTTCAGTTCATAATCATCATCTATAGCTTTTGGTACTGTAATCCTTTTATTTGCTTTGGTGTGTTTGTGATGATGACTGTAGTGGTGGTGGTTATGATGATGGATGCCGTGACTCCTTTAACACCATCCATCTGTCTTACCTCTTATCTTCTGGTGCTTGTTCCACTGTTGGGCACGTGCAAATCTTGTAGTCTGATGCCTAATCCCCACCCTAGGTTGTTGTTATTGTCTATGTCCCAGTTCGGTTACATGTCATTCCACTCTATTTTACGTTAACCTATCCATCCATTACAAACTCGCCACACATAAAACTATTTTTACTATCCCTTACTTTTCTACCCACCCTAGGCTGTTGCTGAACCAATTTTCAAAGACAGCATGAGGTTCTCTCCTTTTTTGGTCAAAGAAATATTACAACAGCTATTGCTGTTACTGCTACTACCACTACACCAATGTTAATGTTCTCCTCACCACCCTTCCACCCTTAAAGATGTTAGAATGCAACCAAATCAACAATACCGCCAACAAAGAGAACCTGATCTGAGCCTCAGCTTAGGGTGGTGTTGTTTCACTTCACCTTGCACTACTACCTTAAATGGTTCATCTTGACACTCCCTAAAACCAGGCGGCAGGACTAGAAACAGTCGCAGCATTTTAAAACAGGTTGGTGGGACAGACAGATGATACACACCAGGATTAGATTTCATTGTCCGTTCATCTCAATCTAATGAATTGTAAGTTGCCAACATTTATCCGAGTCGAGCTGTAGATAAATGTTCCTAGGAAAAAGTTGAAGTAATATTGTCTGGGTTGACCAGGTAAGCAATAAGAGTAGACAGCCAGCTGTGTAGTAACAGTTTGCCTTTGTTGCTACTATTGTCGCCTTTTTCACCGTGTCCCTTTATCCAACATCGATAAAATATGCAGACATACGAACAAATAGTCTCTTTTCGCCTTATACCCACACACACTAAAGAAATTATATTAACAATGAAATCTTGATAAAATGGAAGTTGAAAGAAGAGAGACGACGTAATAAAATCAATCACTAATGCATATATATTCAGTGACAAACATGTCCCGATAGATATCTAATTTTCTTCTTCCTTTTGTAAGTTAACATAGGCAGAGAAATAATGGAGAGAAGGAACCATAGTATGACTACCATTGTCCGGGCGTCGACCATTAGTTCACAAATACACACACGCACATACACAGAGATAGGCAACAGCATTCCAAGAATATAAAGAAGGCAACAATAGTAGCAGCCTAGATTTTTCGCTTCTTATGCTGAGCATGTGAGTAAGGTCATTTTCACACTTAACTGAATTTATTCGCCTTTAAAAGAAGGATAAGAAAATAGAAAATAAGAAGAATGGTACACGCGACAGAAACAGAGCAAGCACACGTAAGATGGAGAGAGAGAGAGTAGGAGGAAGACAGAAGAAGAGAATCAAAGTTTAGCTACCACACTCTCTTCACCCTCTTTCTGTCAGCTTCCTGGTTATTTGAACCAGAGATATGGTCGATTTCTTTTCACTACTTTCTCTTTTTGTGGGGAAAAAATGTATGAAATAGTAGCATTGGTATTAGGAGTTGGTGAACAAGAGAACTAGCTGTAAAAAGGAAATTAACAAAGGCAAAACTCGTACTGCTTGTAATTGATATTAGCATTAGTAGTGATTTCACTGAATAACTTCTTTTATTTCCACCTATTTCATTGAGTTAAATACAATCCAAACACCTATATGAAAGCTTGTGCACCGACGTGTTTTTCATGTTCATGACTGCAACTAAAAGATCGGATATATAGGTATGTGTACTGTTATATATTACCTATGAACTTGTGCATATCTTTGGTCATGATTTTTCTTCAGGTTTGTTGGATAGACAGATGATACACACTAGGATCAGATTTCATTGTCCGTTTATCACGATCCAACATATTGTAAAGTTATGCAACATCTAACTGGAGCTTGAGAACAGCAAACCCGAGAAAACTAAACAGGCTTCAGACCTCGACGAGAGTGCATCGATCATATTTTCATCCTCTGACAGGTTTCGAAACACAGATATATTTACCAGTCAGTGGTCGATACATGCCATGTTTTTCAACCTGAAGGTGGCATTTGACTCCGTCCACCTTTGAGGTGTTGTAGCAGACTGTGAAGGGAGTATTGAGTAAGTACATAACACTGATCAAAGCTCCTTACTCGAATGCACGCAGTCAGTTAAATGATGATGGAGGGTTTTCATGTGAAGTGACTACAACTAGTGGTGTTTGCAAAAGATACCTAGTGTCACCGTTTCTATTTACCCTCGTGATAGATGCACTAGCAGACGTAACCTTCGGAACTCCTGACTTCACAGAAATTAGCTTACTCCCTGGAGGTTATCTGGTCGATCTTGAGTATGCAAACGATATTTACCTGCTACGAGATGCTGACAATATGGAGTCTTCTGAACTCATTGAGCAGAAATCTGAATATTTTTGATATGAATCTCGCAACTTTCGTGAAATCTATGATGATGCTTTAGGACCGGTGTGTTACAAGTATTCCCACCTTAATAATAGGGAGTGAAGTGGTAGAATGTGTCGGCAACTTCACTTAGTTGGGAACTCTCATCAGCCCAAACGGGTTGGTTGTTGACGAAACCTCAGCTCGGATACAGAAGACCCGTTTGGCATTTTCTAAGCTGCACCATCCTTGGCGCCGACCGGGGAGATGTCTGGCTATTTATCAAAGGACAGGTATACTGTACTGTAGTCCGTTCCATCCTGTTATGTGACTGTGAGATATGGCTGTTGAGGGTAGATAAGAAGGGACTATAGGTTTTTGACCATAGGTATCTGCGTAGCATTGCTTACGCTTGGTGAAGTCACTGTGTGAGTAATGTTGAGATCTAGTGAAGGGTACTATACAATAAAAGACAAGTGGATTTGTGCAACTGTGAATCTTAGTCGAATGAGATGGTTTGGAAGTGTATTGTGCATGCCAAGCCACCACCCACCTCGACGTGTCATGCTAGGCCGAGGAAGTTAGAGTGGGTTGGAAGAAGGTTCAAGGTGGTAAGACCAAGAAGTTGCATCAGTCTATGAAGACTCCAACCGTTGATCTGAGTCGTGTGGGGCTATGGAGACTGCTTGGTCCGGGTCTCTGGGACGATCGGAATGAGTGGTTGAGGATTCTTAGTGACATCTCTGAAAATCGGCCACGATGGTGCAGATGTATTGACTTCTTGATGTTTTCTAAGGCTTGGATATTCTCGCTAACCTTCATCTTCAACTTGCTTATTCTGTCAAAAAACAACTTGTGTACTTTGATATCATTCTTATTCTATCAGCGTGTTCTTTTTATACCAGTGTGCCACATTAATTTTGTCAGTCATGATGATTCTTGAAGAAAATAAGATACATAGGCTTGTAATGGGTGAAAACAAAGGTATAAGCAAGCACTGAATGATTACTGGATAGTAGCCAATTTCATGTTGCCTAGTCCCAAGTGTTGATCGAATAATATCCATCATTTTGCGATATTTCCACTAAGCTAGCAGACTCATCATTGTGATGCACTTTGATTAGTTGGTTGGAGGCAGTTGACAGGAATACGTATAGAGAAAGGTTTCTTGGTTGTTATTACTCGTCAGAGGAGTTAATGTCCCTAGTGAGATTTGGATCCATGTTACACGCTGCTGCAGTCAGCGATCTTACCACTGAGCTATTCGACGCTACTATCTGACACAAGCACATAGTTTGGCAAACAAAAAGTACTCAGCTGCAAAAATTATCACTGTGAACAATGCAGCTCGTATATAGTAGGCAATCCGTTTTGAATATCACTATAGAGAAAAAAAATACATCTGACTGCTAATTGGTTGGAATTAAAAGCACCGTTTACCGAAATTCTAAGTAGTCCTTTGTAAACAGTTCATTTTCTTCAATATTTAGTGGTAAGATGATGGGAAAACATTCTCCGGTAAATGAATTTTATTTCAACATCTTCTACTCAAATACACCAGACCTGAAACAGTCAGAGAATATATTTCTGTATACCTCAGTAACAAAGGAGGAGGCAATCTAGTAGTACGAAATTGAGGTTGAGCTCAGTCATACGATTGAAGAAACTGAGGTAAAAGAACCAAAATTCATTCTTACTTATATAATATTAACTTCCTTAATGAAATTTCATTTAAGTTGAAACGTTTTATCCACAGTATCAGCGGAAGCTAAGAGTATCTGGTATAACTCAGTCTCTTCTTCTATGTTCAATGTTCAATGTTATATGTTTTATGAAGTCCTGGGTCTAGCAAGTCACTACAATGCGGTCCTACCCGATCTTCATCCCCTTCGCAGCCCTTTGTTTTCTAACAAAGGTTTTTATCTTCTATCACCGCAATATCTACACAAAATTCCACCCGTTAATCCAAATTACAAGAGCTGTAACCAGAAGTGTCGTAGTACAATTTGTAATTAATAAGACCTGCGGAATATCAAGAATGAACTCTCTTTTATTCTATCTTGAATTTATCAAAATCTCTAAACCACAGACCTAAAGTGGATTATTAGTCATCACTAACTGTTGAATGTATGAAGTTTCATTCAAACTTCTGGGCTTTCCCCATACCAGCTTACTGCTTGACATATGCTGTTCATTCTGTAGGATAAGTCAAACCATGACAAGTATTTACGGAATTCGAAATTTTCATTGGCTAGTACAGACTTGTCACTCCAAAGATTAATACACTTGCCGTTTATCCTGAATCTTAGGGTGGCATTCATCACGAATTGATATTATTTAAAGAACCGTTGATAACCTGAGGCGTTTGATGTCTATTTCTTCTTAGTAGAGACTTCTCAGCAGTGCGCACCTACGACCCATCCAGGGACCAGGCCCAGGACCGTTAAATCTCATGGTGATCATGTTTCCACCTAGCCGCTGGGTTGGAACCCGACGGTCCACGTTTGTTACTTCTGCCAGTTCACAGTCACCTGTGGGACTATCCCGGTAAGAAATGAAGACAGAGACTTGCTGATGGCATTCAATGATGTTCATGCTATAGTATAAATTGACAGAATTAGGAGAATGTGAACCATCGGTTTCCAAATCAGTAACTGAAT